CTCTGCTCTGGTACATCTGGTAATGCTTCAAGGGCTATCTGTCCAGTGAATGACCTTTGCTTCATTATCCACAAAATGCATATTAAAGTTGACACCCCAGAATACGTTAATGAAGATTTACTGAGATCATGCTAATTACATAATTCCTTGAAGCACCTTACTCCTCCACATATATGTGATACATAGGTATGTGGGTCAGCCTAGGGGAGTGACCCAAGGAAAGCATGTATAAATTGAGGGTGGGTGAGGCGTGAATAAAGCAAGAGATGGAAAGAAAAAGGAAGACATGAAGTCAGATGAATCCCTGACAAACTCAGATGGGACAAACACAAGACCCCAGACTGGCAATCTCTATTTCTCTACTCTCTCTTCTTTGCTTTGTCCCCTTTTCCCTTATTACCATTAAGTAATGGAAGACATACTATATCACTTGCCATCATTTGTTATATACTTAGCCAATTATTGTGTATCCAGTTAGTAAATTGTGGGAAATTAATAAATGTCTGGGCATGGGCTTTGAGACTTGTCTCACCATTGTCTACTCTGTTGGAGATTTACGAATCTAAGTCACTTGTCTCCCTCGTCTGAGCAGGACATAACAATGGCAGAGAATATTCCTCTTCTGAATACTCTTATTTGTGTTTATTATGCAGACACAAATACTTCTTCTGTCTGGATTCCAGTGTGCTGGGTGCTGTATAAAACTAAGAAAAGCATTGTCTATCCTACAAACTTTATTAACTAAACCAATAATGTATATATCTGTTTAAGAAGCACTGTGAATGCCACTGTGAGACTGTGACTGTAAATAAGCCTTACAGGTCCCTGACTCAGAGAACACAGAGTACTGGAAGAAAATTAACAGAAAACCAGAAGCAAGTAGGAAGATAATACAGCAATAAAGCTACTGTTTGCATAAATCACATGGGGGTTGTCTTTAGAAAGTTGTTATTTTGTATGAAAATGCTGTATGTTCCCATTCTTAATCAATATGCTCTTTCTGAAACAGAAGTAGATATATTTTGGTAAGTTTTTTCATTTTAAGATTTGCATAGGCATTTTGCTACTGACAGTTATTACGTTGTCACACACATCACTTTGCTTTGCAACCAGATCGGCCTGGAGGCGGACCTGTGTATCCTCACAGTACCTTGAAATTGCTCAAAGTACACCGTACCTAAATACAATAGAAGGATAATGCTGGACAAGACCTCCAGAAATTATACAAAACATAACTGAAAGATATTTGTCATTAACCTGTAATTATAAGTTCTAATGATGACTATCTAGCGATTTTTCCTTGGTAGCCTGGAACAATATTTAATTGTTCTTACAGAATTTCTTATGTCAACTTCTACTTTCTCTGGCTATAAATAAAGTCTATTACTACTTACTCATCCCTTCAATTCACATAAAGGAGGTTTTATTATTTTTCTAACAACCTGATACCTGGTGGAGGACAAATTATCTTTTACTCCCCAAATCTTCACTTCTTTTCATCCACCAGACAATTATTTTGATGCTGCTTCATCGGTCAACTGTTCTTCACTGTTACAATCTTGTCTGATCACATGTGGATATTTCACATCCATCTGAAAGCTTAGTGCCCAAATCTGGACAAAGTATTTCACCTGAGGGCTTGTAATTTTTTGACTCATTAGTAAACTTCCAAGCCTTAATTCCTCTTAAAACATTGTAAAACAGTGCTTGTGGCCTGCTATGAATCCCCAGGCTTCCCCAGCCTGCTTCTGTAATACCAGTTATTCCACACTTTGCATTTGGGGAGGGTCTGTTCCTTTTATTTCTGAGGTGATACACTTTTCATTTTCTTTCTGGGATTTATGAAGTCATGTGCTCATTCTTAAAACTTTTTTTCAGTTGTGTCAGCTCAGTCACTGCTTTCCACTAGGAGGAATTTCTAGTGGCCAATTGCACTTCTGAACAGCTTATTTCTATGTGTTTAACACCGACTGTACTATTTCACTAATTTGGACCTCTGTTTTCATGAGATGACATAAAAGTAAGATCATGCTGTTCTACCATGACCATCATAAAGACCTCAAGCAAATGCATTCTAAAACTTCCTTTTTAACTAAACTTCTTTAAACTGTGTTTTGTAGCATCCTCCTTTTAGTCACTTTTATGTTGGTCTTTGAAACCCAACCAAGAATGGGGCTCCTCTTTGTGGCTGGCAGTGCTCAAAGGAAGAATACTAACCCTACAGAGCTCTGCAAGCAGTGTGCTGCAGAAGAGCACAGGATAGAGAAACGGGGTATAAAACAAAGGAATGGTGAAAAAGCATAGTGGTTTTATGTGGAGAGAACGACACAATCAGGGAAAAAAAAGTCAGCACTGACTATATGGGGGGCATGGCACAGGAGAAGGTAAAGGAGTTGAAGGAAACTGAGCTGAAGAGAGTATGAAAGAAGGAATGGGGAAAAAATGTGACACAGCGAAGACAGGACAGATGAAGTCTAGTTAAAAAGTGCAGAATTCTCTGAATGCCTGAGGCTCTTTGCTTTCATATTCCTGAAGCCACGCCTGCCTGCTGGCACCTGCAGACATAAAACTTTGCTTCGCTGACCACTTTATAGTCTCTCTCTACACAGTTTCATTCTCACCTTAGCATTTCTGAACACAGATAATGCAAAATACCTGGTAAATAGTACTGACCTCACCCACAGACACCCTTCTCGTTTTGTATTATACAGAGCCTCAACAGAGCTACTAGGAAGGACAATTAAAAAGCGTATATTCTTTGGGAGGGCTGAGAATTGGCCATCTGATCCAGAACTCATAGGGAGAACATGGCCTGTTTCTGCACATTTATGCAAATCATGTTTGATTAAGGTTATCTACTCATTGTCATACTGCTATCTGCCTGGCCTTGAAGAACCAACTTCTGTGCAGAGTGCAAGGATCCTGGGAGGGGTACAAACAGAGCAGCCATTAACAGCTCGCAGCAACTGCAGAGGTCAGACAAGGGCTGAACGCAACAGTAGTTTGAGCCAGCATGAAAGGTGTTCTTACCATGTGTCAGAGGTCGAGTGGAAAGCAAGCAGGAAATACTAGCACCAAGTCAGTCTTCAAAAATTACGGAGGGAAAAAAGCTGTCTAAGCAGAGACTCGAGAGAGCTTGCCTGCACAAGGAAGCAACTTGAGGTTTTGGGGCTGAAAGAACCAAACACAAAATTCAGGGAGAAACCTCCACATCTTAAGACAAAGAAGTCCAGGAACACAGATCTGAAAATCTATAAATGTGCTGGTGTGATCAGACAATAGCCTAACAGTGTTTGTTACTAACAGAGCCCTGTGCATCGTGTGTGCTAAGAGAAGCAAAGAGCAATCGTTTTTAAATTATTTGAAGACTGCGTCTCTGACTGTTACTGCAACTATGAAGGGACAAACTAGAATGCACCCAAACTCTAACTATTAGAGTCATAAAATATTAGGGTTTTGAAATTTGTGTTTAATGATTTAACTAGGTATGTTGGTAGAACAAGTACAATGAGTAGAGCTAGGCCTTAGCAACAGGGTGAGCTGTTCCCATAGGAAAGGATATGCAAGAGAAGTTGAGAAGAAAGGGAACATGATGTTTTTGTTCAGTCGTAACAGGGCCATAAAACATTCAAAAGAATACCAGGAGAGACAGTTCTAAGAGGAGAAAACAAAGTGTCATTTATCATAATTATACTATTAAGTTGCTCATCGGCCCAAAACCCCGAACCATGGAGACCTAGGAGCCCAGGTAGTCAGTAGTTAGTCAGATTAAGATAAATGACCAAATGATTTTGTAACTTTTATGCATATGTATGGTTCAAGGAATAAGGAACCAATAATATAGTAATGATGTAATGGGTAAAAATAATAGTAACCAATGCAGGTAAAGGGCAGCTATAATGAGCAATAATGAGCAATTAAAAACATGCCTATTATAATAAAGAACAAATAATGTTGGGGTGTGAGTATTTGTGGATGACAACATTTCGGCAGACACCTTTGGGAATGGTCCCCAGTACGCATCATTAATAAAAGACGTCTCTGCTTATCTAACTTTGTGTAGGTAAGTTTTTCTTACCCTGCAGATTTGCAACATTAGGATCCTGCAGGAGAGCAAGTACAGGTGGGATATTTACCACAGGTAATAGGGGTATTTCAAGGGTGTTATTTTTTAAGAGGAGAAATTTTCAAAAGGGCTGCCAGATAGACAAAGCAACAACAGACTAAAGGAGAAGTTTTTTTTGTATTCCTGGATTAAAGGAAATATTAAAAACATGGAGCCAACGATGGGGTCTAAACTAGCTAAGTGCCAGTTAAAGCAAAATTTTAATGGCACTGTAACAGCCTTATTTCTGACAGTAAGCCATACAAGACACTTAGAAAACATGTAAATTCAAGGCATTAGCATGGGTTTATGCCATCATTATGCAGTGAGACACAATTTAAAAGAGTGTATCTGAAATCCCAGGAGGGCAGGTAAAATGAGCTTTCCAAATTATTACCTGAAAAGGGTTCAAAATATTTTTACGTTTTGTAAAGAAGAAATACATATGGTGAAAATACATTATTAGAAGGTTAAAACCAGGTAACACAACTGGGGCTTAAGTCTGTGCTTCTAGGATGTTTGAATCCTAGATGTGGTAAAAAAATCAGTGCCTTTTATCTACTGCTGGAGGGCTTCCTTCTCTTATTTAATTAATCTACATGCCTTAAAAGAGCAAGTTCTTTATAATTTTTAAAAAAAAAATAGGTCAAGGTGCGTCAGCCTGGAAGCTTAAAACCTTATGTCTCAGCTGTACACTAGCACCTAAGACAAGGCATAACAACTACAGCCTTCAGGCTTACTCTGATTGCCTTCGTTTTTACCGTCAATTGTTCTGAGGCAGTACGAACTGGAAAACCGCTCGGGACTCGCTCCTTCCAACCTCTCACTACAGCAGGGACCGTGACCTCCTCCCCGGTCACTCCGCACTAGCACTAAATCCCACGCACTATTATACCTCAGGGAGAAAAGGCCGCGACGACGCGGCAAAGCGAGCCAAGGCTTTCCAGGCCGGCCATGCAGAGAGCCTGGCCACCTCCGGGTGCTCCCGCCGCACGCCCACCGCGGCCACGCGTGGCTCGGGACACCTCTCCGCCGCGGCACGCGGGCTAACTTGGAGCCGTGGAGCTCGGCAGCCCACGGCCCCACACCGGAAAAGGGACGGGGCGGAGCGAGGGGAAAGGGAAGCCCCGGCCACGTGACGAAAATTCGAACGGCCGGCGCGAGACCCAACACCTTCCGCAGCGAGCATGCGCGGCCCGGCCGGCCGTTGAGCAAGACGAGCCTGCCCATTGGGCAGCGGGAACCCACGTGCTTCGCGACTCATCGGCAGGCTGCTAGCCCGCTGACTCCGCCCCTCTCTTTCCTTACACCCCCCCCGCGCCTCTCCCCCCTCCCCTCCGGCGGCGCATGCGCGGCGGGGGTGGCCGCGGGGCCGGCGGTGGACGGACCTTCTCTCTCTTTTTTTTTTTTTTTTTTTTTTTTTTTTTTTTATTTTATTTCTTCCCCGTCTTTCAGGAGGGACAAAATGGCGGCGGCCTGACGCCGGGTTAAGCGACGCCGGTGATCCACCGCAGCAAAGGGCCCGGCCGGGGGATGGTGAGCAGGCGGCGGGCCCGGGCAGCCCCTGTGAGCAGACTCCGCCTCCCGCCCGCCGCAGCCGCGGCCCCGCCGCCCCGCACCGCTCCGCTCCGCTCCCGGGGGGAGAGCCTCCCGCCCGCCCGGCCCCACGGGGTGAGTGCCCGCTCGGCCCTGCCCTCCCTTCGCGGAACCGCCAGCCCCGGTGCCTTTTAGGTGTGCGGTGCGGGGGGGGGGGACGGGGCAGACGGCGGGGTAGGGCCGGGGCCGGCGGGCGGGCGTGCCCGGGGGGGAGCCGGTACCGGTACCGGTTCCCGGCGGGGCGGCTGGCCGTGTGCGCCTCCCACCGCGGCGGGGGGGGGGGGGGGTTTCCCCGCAGGGCCTCCCCGCCCGGGGGCGACTTCCTTGGAGAAAAAGCGCGTAGATTTCAAAACGGGGGCGAGGAGAAGGGGTGATGTGGCAGCGAATGTCACCCGCGGGCGTGGAACAGGAGCCTGGGGGGGGGGGGGGGGGGATGCCAAGTAGGGAGGGAGCTCGCCCTTGGAGCCTCCCGGCGCCGTGGGGCCTGGTTCGCGGTGGAGGCGGGGGGAGGTGGCGTTTTGGCGAGGTGCACCGAGGCGGAGATGGGGGGGGGGGGGGGAGAAATACATAAATCACATCCAGTTGTTTTCAAGGCGCGGAGGTGCTGTCTGACGGGGGGGGGGTGGGGACGGACACGGGGGATGGTATGGTGCGGGGTGGGGGGGGGGGGGGCTGCGGCTGGGCCTTCGGGGAGGCACCGAGTCTCTCGTTAAAGCGAGGGAGCCTGCGCCGAAGGTCTCCTCGGGAAAGGAGAAGCGCGGCTCGGCTGCCGGGCGGCTTCACCCCGCGGCCCTGCCCGGCCGGGGGTGGGCACGGGGAAAGGGGGGGGCTCCGCACCCCGCCGGCGCGCTGAGGGACCGGGGACTTCTTCCGCCGCCTGGTTTTGGGTTGGGCGCCCCAGTCCGGCGATTTTTGTAGCCTTGTGGTGGATGGGGGGGGAGGTTTGTGGCGCGCAAATGTTAAATTAGGTCTTGTTCTCCGACTGCTGCGTTAAGTAGGGCAGCTGTAGTTACCAGGTGGATATTAGTAGTTCAGCAAAACGTCTTGTACTTTTTTTTTTTTTGAGAAACAGCTCTATTTAAATACTCCCATCTCAATCTTTTCAGAACATTTATTATTAAAACTTCTGGAAGGTTGTGAATATCAGACAGAGGTGGGTTTATGTTGCTGCTTGTTTCACAGGTTAGAAAATGTGTCTAGGATTTTCTTGCTTCTGTTTTCATCTATGTTAGATCCTGTTTTCAGTATTGATGTAGAGAAATCACGCAAACACAGGTAGGTGCAAAGAACGTGGAGCCAAGGACAACAGGTTTACCCCACTTGTCAGTATAAACAGAAGAGTTAATGTGCTTGTCCTGCTTCAGTGGTGGGGTTAACAGTGGTAATTTGATCTTCTGTGGAATCCGATGGTGTAATTCTAGGTTTTACTAGCCTTTGAGCTGCAGCTGCTGCCAAAGAGATGCAATCTTGTATTCCTCTGGTTGCAAGTGTTTGTATACCCTTGTGGGAAACAACTGGGGAGCCAATATGACTTGAAGATAAGTTGTGGGGGTTTTTTTGTTTGTTTGTTTTGCCTTTTTTTTTTTTTTTACTGGTTTTGATTTAAACAGTTCCCCAGTCTGGAGAGAATCGGGCAGTGCACGGTAACCGCTCTATGTTCAGGGTGGTGTGGATTAGGGTGTTTTAAAGCGTTTACACAAAACAATCTTTTGTCACTGTACTTCCAAAAGATCCTAATAACTTGACCTTATTTGTGAAGTGTGTCAGACCAAAATTCATTACTTTGACGTGTGATCTCTGCAAGACTGCTGTGCAGCTGGATTTACTGTTCTGTTTTAAAATATTTCACTGACTGAACAAGATGTTCTGTAACAATGTTTCGTTATCATTTTTGGCTCTGAAATTCAACTGTTTGTGGAATTTTTTTTATCTGGCCAGGTCTTAATCACAAACCTAAGAGGGTTTTTTGAAGAGCTTTATTTTTTGTGCTCACTTGAGACTTAAATTGCTACAAAACTACATCTTTTATTTGAAAAGTTTTCATATTTAGTGTCAGATGATCTAAACATAGTAAAAAAAACTTTTCTTCATATAAAATTTGAGTAATGCGATTGCTTGCCAAGTCTTTACAGATACAAAATATAGCTGGATTAATTATTTGGTTTTGTATAGAGCTGATAAGTTGGTACTTTAGTAAAATGGAACTCAGAAGTTAGAACTATTACAAACATTCCTTCTCCAAAGTTGATTTTCTTTTACATTGCAGAGGTAGCTAGCAAAATGATGTTTAGCTGCTTACAGCAATTGCTCTGAAATCCATGATACACTTTGTGTCCTTTGGAGGAAGAATAATTTATTTGTAATAGAAATTTTCAGATTTCTAATTAGTAATGCTCTAGTGATCCTATTTTTTGTAGAAGAGCATTGTCTTCATTCTTACCCAAGCTTTCTATCTAGTTGCTTCAGTAGGTCCTCATCAATATTTATTTTAGATGCTATAAAGTAGCTTGCTTTTCTCTTGCTGCTTACATGGCTATCCTGAGGCAAGATGGAGTGGAATATGGAACATTTTAACCAGATCTTTTTCCCATATTTTTGCTTTCTGCAGGCCTTCAGTGTAAGTGGTGACCAGATATATGGGTGATGGGACTGAAAGGAATTTCTCTAGCTAGCATTGCTGCTAAAGAAAACTTACCCCTTAACTGAACTGCATGTTTCTATTGTTGCTTAAATTTAAGATCAAATATGGCTTATCACCACAACTTTAATCTCAAGTGCTGTTGATTGTTGTTGTCACAGCAGTTGATAGAAACAATTGGTTTTCAACTGTCATTCCAATTTTGACCTACTTTTATATTCTCTCTGATTCCCATTATTTTTTTGAAGTAATACAAAGTGAAGATCACTGTTGCTTAGAACTTAATTTATGTGCAATTGATTCTTTTTTTTTTTTTCCACACAGGTGTGGAAAAATGGCAAAGAGAATTGCAGAGAAGGAACTGACTGACAGAAACTGGGATCAGGAGGATGAAGCTGAGGAGGTAAGATATGCATTACATCCCCCCCACCTTTGCAGGTATTAGGGTAGTTACTTACATGTGCTATTTATCTTGTGGGTAAAATATATGGTGAAATTGGTTAAAAATGTAGCAATTAAATATGATTTTATATAAGTGACTTTTTTTTAAAGCTTCCAATATATGCAGACCATATGGCAAAGCAGCTTTTAACAGTGAAAATGACATCAGCAGCTCAGGGGAAAGGAACTTTACATTCCTAAAGGGAAGCCCAGGCTTTTTAAAATGCATGATGCTTTTGAACTCTTCAAATGTGTGATGGGTATTTATTAAGTTCACAAAAAAAGCAGTTTTGATTTATTGAGGTAAATTTTCTTCATGCCTTTTCTTTTTTTTGTTTATTTGTTTTGTTTTTTTTTTTTTTTTAAAAAAAGGTCAGTAATAGTTCATTTCAGAAGTACATTAATTTGGAGAGCTTAGCTGAATGTCCATACACAGCCAGAGGAATTAAGCAAACAGTCAAATGATATGTTTCATCTGATTGTGAAAAGAGATTTTCATGTTTAGTGTCTCATACTTACGATTCATGTATTATCTCTAAACAAACTGTGCTAGCTTTTGTGCTACTGAAGGTATTAAATAATTAGGCCTATAAAATGTAAGAAAGAAAACTGACAGTACTCTTCCAGAAATTTGAATATAAGAAAACTAATTTCCTCATTTATTACAGGGTAGTAATTAGCTGCCTTTGCTAGTACTTGAGGTGCAGCAGACTGACTTACAGCAGTGCATCTCAGTATACCTTCCCGAAACTGAAAATTGTTTGTAACAGTAGAATACTGACAGATTACCTTCAGCAAAGATAACCTTCGGGATTTGTTATAAAAAAAAATGAATTATTTGTCATCATAAAATTGTGATTGCAGAAAGAGAGATTTCATGCAGAACAAGACAGAATTTTGAAAGTATCAACTAATGTCCAAGTAGCTGGCAAGCTAATCACAGTACTCTATTTTCTGGGTGTATTTTTTTTTTTTTTTAACTCCTTCCCTTATTTGTTAGGGAGCAGTGTTACAGTTGTGTTCAAAAACTTCCCTTGGCCATCTCTTCAGACAGTGATGACTATGCATTCTGAGAATTTCACTAATAATGCTATAATGGCTTCTTAAAGGTGGGAACATTCTCAGTAGCTAGCGAAGAAGTCCTGAAGAACAGAGCTATTAAAAAGGCAAAGCGCCGAAATGTTGGATCAGAGGTAATGTAATCACTGAGCATTAGTGTTGTAGTTTGACTCAGCTGCAAAATATGACATGTGTGCTCAGGTTTTACTTATTTGGGCTTGTAATAATACTGTATAAAGCTACCATTTAGAAGGTATACGCAACTAGTCAGCTCATACATGCAAATTAATTATTGCTTACCGTTCCATAGCAAGTATAAGGCTAGAACAAAAAATGGTCAATATTAGTATTGACTGTGTGAAGAGAGATGTATATTTTTGAAGTAATAAATGCAGAGTGTTTCCTACACAATGTCATCTACAGATGGGTAAAATAACATTCAAACAGCTCCAGTTTAATTCTTTGCAGAGACGGAAACCTGGAAATCAGAAATTACTGGTTCTCCGTACTCGAGGGCTGGGGGATGTCTCAGAGGCTAAATAAGTAAACGCCAAACAGTAAGCTGTTCTGAGTGTGAAAACCATGCCTCTTGTTAAGAATGCTGCTACTGCTGTGCTTTTGATTTTCCTTCTGAAATGAGGAAGATGTCTTATCCTACTTTTGCCTATTGTAGTTTTAGCCACAAATGTGGTAGAGGATGTAGTTAATTAAAGGATTGTACTGGGAAGAGGTGATGCAAGACATAAACCACAATTTGAACAGGAGGGATTCAGGGGCAAATGAAATAGGAAGAACAGAGCTGGCTGAGAAAGGAGACCAGGTTATTGGAGAAAATATAGTCAGGAGGCTGGCAGTCAGCTGTTAGAGATCAAAGCTGGCAGAAGAGCTAGGATAGGCTGAGTCTTAAAAGCAAAAGAGATGGCAGGGCACCTGAGGTTGCATAAGAAGCCTGTGACATATTTACAAAAAGGTAAACTTGAAATTTACTGATGTTCCTAAATGTAGGAAACATAATGCTGCAAAGAAAAAGACTGCAGTGTAACTTGAATGTCCAGAGAGAGAGGCAGGTAGGATCTATCCGAGACAGAATAAAAATAGCTACCTAGAAATGAGAAACACAGGACTGCACTGGAAAAGGTAAAGCACAAACAAAAAAGCCCATACCCACAAGGCTAGATACTGGTATAGAACCTAAAATGAGTATGTTTTGCTATTTCTTCAATGACAAAAGCAGATGAAACTCAAAAGCAATTCTGCTTTTCTGCTGATGGTTTTTCAGAGACATTGAAAGTTCACTTTCAGTAATGAGTGCTTGTTACCTCAAACATAGTACCTAAAAGTGTCAGTGCTCGTTTGCGTGTTAATCACACTATGTCTTAAAAATATGTAAGAAACTGAACCATAAAACAATGTGGCTGTAAAGGTAGTGTTCAGAACTAGGTAATGAAAAGGCTGCAGAAAACATACATATTATGTCATCAAGTACAGTCTATCTTTGCTTCTCCCATCAGTCACGTTGGAATATTTTGGTTAACTTAAACATTACATAGGTGACTAAAAAATACAGTTTTGATAAGCAACTTGAAGTCTTGGACTCTTAATTGTGGTTGTAAATGCTAAGAGTTGCTAAAAATAAGTTCAATTATATATTGCCATGTAATTATTTAAAGAAAACAAGATGCTATGAATGTCTAAATAGGTAGTTAAACACATCCGCTGCTCTGAACAACTTTTATGTATCCACTTCCTAGATCTAGTTTATTTTCATACCAACCATCTGAGTCCTTTAAAAATAGTAGCAATATGTGTCATAAGGAAGCTAATAACGTTGTGTACATAGCTTAGAATAACGCATGAAATGACACACTGAACCAGGGTAAAATAAATGGAATATCAAGTGGGGATAGGATTTTTGTGGAGGATACATATACATATATATATATATATGTAACTGGTTGTCTGTGTTGTTTTTTGTTTGTTTTTTTTTTTCTCCCTCCCCAGTCTGAAAGTGGAGGAGCTTTTAAAGGGTTTAAAGGCTTTGTATCGCCTTCTGGAAAAGAAGGTGGCTTCAGCGGATTTGGTAATGGTGCAGGAATAAAGTCTTTGGATGGGCTGTCAAATGGAAGCAGTAGTGTCTCTAGCACTCCTTCTTTCAGCAGTTTAAAGACCACCTCTGAAACACAATCAGCATTTGGTAAGTTTTAAATAAGCATACATATTTATCGACAAATTGAGCCCTAAAATTAAAATCTGTAGGGTTATTTTAATAGTGAGAAAACAAATTCAAACCACCCTGTAATTCTATTTTGAGACTCTATTCCACTTTGTATGATTTCTTAAAAAGATTTTAGACTGCTGGAGGGTCAAATTACCAAATATATGCAGTTTTAAGAGGTGGAAGCTAAATTCATGTTTGATCTAATACTGGACGTAAAAGCTTTGTAGGCACGAACGGGAATGGAAGACACTGGCATAAGACACTGAATAGTATAAACAGCTGATGATATATTCCAGTTAAATAATCGTCCCAGTTTTCTGAATTTAATTTAAAAAAACCCAAACAAGCAAGCTAATGGAGAATGTCCATTTATAGTAGGACTGCAATTTCTTCATATGATATTTTTTTTTTTTTAAGATCTTGTTTCTGTAATTTTTTGCAGTTCTTTGTAAATAAATGCTGCATAGCTGAAGTTGTGACCTTTTTTCCTCTGTACATCTTGTATTGCAAAGTCTTACTGGAATTTTATCTGTTACATTTATACCTATATTTTAAGACATTTCCAGTATTCTGGCAAGTCTAACTCTAGTCTTATGCTTTGGTAGTACCTGAATATTAGTTCTGTCCCTTTGTGTGTTGGAGATGAAGAAATGTTAACCATACCACAGTGTTTAGAGTCAGCATGCCACAGAATAGAAAAGGTGGAGTTTGAAGTTTAGAGTAATTTAGATTTTAGTGAGCTTAACTAAAATACTTAATGAGGATTTTCTTAATTTGCTTATAATGTTTCTTATACAGAAACCATTCAAATGTGCAAAAGATAACTGAATATTTTGTTTTAATAACTGTTACAGCTTGGTAAAGCTTGAATCAAGGTTTTGGAGGTTTTGATGAAATGCAAAGCTGCCTTTTTTTTTTAGTGTTACTCTGTACAAGATTTCTTTGGTGTTTTGGGTTTTTTTAAAACAACTCTGTGCTCCATCTACTTTGTTTATCCCTGAACTAATTTACTTTTTCTAAGCTTAGTGAGCTTAGGTCTGTTTCACAGCACTGGCTGTTTACTTGTACCACAGTATCTGGGACACAGTGTTGTGGTCCAAGAGAAGGTACACAACTGAGCAAGAATGAGTGATTTGATAGAGAGATGGAGAACATTAGTTAGGCTTTCAGGAGAACTGTTTGATGGAAAAAAAAATGTTCTAAACCGTCTTTTTTTTCTATTAGGATCCACAATGTCAAATGGTCCTACTACTACTGCATTTACTGAGAAAAAGGCTGCAAGCCCCAAAGCTAATGGTGGCAGTCAACCGTCCTCATCTGGCTATGCTCAGAGTAAAGTCTGTAGCTCTAGTGTTTACCACAAACAGTTAGCAGCTTTAAACTGTTCTGTGCGTGACTGGATAGTTAAGCATGTAAACACAAACCCACTATGTGACCTGACACCTATTTTTAGAGACTATGAGAAGTATTTAGCAAATATCGAACAGCAACACGGAAGCAGTAGTGATAGTGGCTCTGAAACTGAAAGCAACAAGACACCTGTCTCTCAGTCTGTTTCTGCGTTTGGGAATTCAAAGCTACAGCAAGGATCAACGTTTTTGTTTAACAACAACAAAAGTGAGGATACCTCGGACAAAAAACCTGAAGCTGCATCAGAAAAAAAAGACCCATCGTTAGGAGCTACATCAACTGTCTCATTTAATTTTGGGAAGAGTGTCGACAGTTCTGTTTTGGGTTCCCTCGGGTCAGGAACACTTAGTAGTTTCTCATTTTCTCCTGGGAATTCAGGTTTGTTTGGAAAAGATGCAAACCAGGCTAAGTCTGTCACTGCAGTATCCACCAGTGTATTGGAAGCTCAGACAGAAAGTGGCAATAGTGATGATAAAGGTAAAATCTATTTAAAATGATGATTTTTAATGGTAAACTGTGAATGTATATGAGTTAAGAATACTGCAAAGATGAAATAATACTAAGTTGAACTCGATCATAATTGTTCTTGAATTTGAAAGTCAAAAACTGTACCACTTATCTGGAAATACCAGTCTCGCATACTGTTTAAGTAACACTAAAATTATGGTTATGAAAACCTATGTATTTCTGTCAGATTTATACTTTCTGTAATAGAAAACAATTCTTTAGCTGAATACAAGACTTGATGAAATTTAAAGCAACTGGTATGCTCATCTTTGATCCTACAGGACATTTCAATCCTGCTGCTTTTCCCAATAGGTTTGTCGAGAGATTCCCCTTAGTAAAACGCATAAGATGGAGAACAATTTCATAAATCTTACTGAATAGACTGTGAGGCCAACAAAGTTACATACTACCTGACAGTTTTACTCTGCTATTTACATAAGCTGATGGAAATCCTAGCAGTTGAGGGACTGGAGAGGCATAATCCTGCCACTGTCTCATGGCTGTCATTCCTGCAACTAACTCCCCTCAAATTAAACCTGGCTGTTGGAATTATTTATTATGCATTATTTGGACCCATTTGTGGAGACTATTCTTTGAAATGTTATAACTATTTTTCCCCCCTGACAGAAGGTTTTGACTTAAATTTGACTTGTTAAGCTTTATATTTTTTGGTTTGGATTATCTGGTGGGGATTGGGTCTTTTCATCCCATTCAAAGTGAAGATGAGCATAAAGTTGTTTGAGGCCGAATGAAAAGAAAGTAAGATTTCTTTTCCGTAGCCCGAGCTGCTTCAGAGCCCACATTTTGAGCCACATATTTTGGCAATCATTGACAGGCCACACGTGTATGTCAAATTATAGCATGCATGAGCTAGTTGTAATACAATGCCAAAACTACCTTCCAGATTATATGCTCACAACATTAACGTATTAAAACTTCTTATTTAAAGGAGAAGAGGAGGAAGAAGAGCCACCAAAAGTCATTGTCAATGAAATAAAAGAAGATGATGCTTTCTACTCAAAGAAGTAAGTGACTTTAACTTGGAATAGTGAATAGAATTGCGACTAGGAGAGTAAAAGTCATACCTGCATATTGCTGTTCTTCACCACTGTAGGACATAACTAATGCCATGCACGTTCTTGCCTTCCTAGTTGTTAAAGCTTGGTAGGAAGGCATATGGAATGTGAAGTTCCACTTGTAGAACAGTTGGTAACAGAGAAAAAATGTGTAAGATCTTACTATCTCGGACACAGTGCTAACAGCTAGTTTGTGTTCTATTTGTGATCAGTTCTTTTAGAAATTAAGATGTTTCTGCCTTCATCAGGTTTTGTAAGTTTAAACTGCAGGGCTTGTACCACAGGTGTAACATACTGTACTTCTGAAAAATCACTCAGGTGCTCAGCTATTTGCACAGCCTAAAATGAGACTCTTCAGCTGGAAAATGCTCATTGTTGTATGGAGGAGTGAACAAGTTGTACTTTAAAGTTCAAAATGAGACTAACTCTACGGGAAGCAGTTTTTCAAAGCATGTTCATTAGTCCAAGTAATTGCATGTCTGCTTAACACTTCGCACACAATTTGTCCTTCTACAAAAACTCATTTGCTTTATCTGAGAGAATGTGTGTGCTAATTTATAAAGAATGGCACTTGGTTTATTAGAGCTTCACTTAAAAAATGTTTTTGAATTTTACATAAAAGTCCTATTATAACTTCAGAATAATATACCAAGTTCTTATGATTTTGTAATTAATGTTATTAAACAGTAGCTTACAGTTATTACTCGTTAGAGACCCTGAGTACAGGTTTCTGTGCATTTTATTTTTCCCTGAAAGTAATAATTAACTTTCTCTTTCTGAACTGGAAGTACTTTCTGTTAGCACATGAAACAAGGTCAAGAAGAATAAAGATTTATGCTACTCATAGCATGTTAACTCCTGATTATTGTTAAACTGTTGGCTTACCATGAGTCAGATGTGTACATATGTGTGTGTGTATTTAGGATCTATCTTTGTTTTTTAGGATCTGTCTTTGTATTTAGGATCTATCTTTTTTTTTGCACAGGTGCAAACTGTTCTACAAAAAGGATAATGAATTTAAAGAAAAAGGTGTAGGAACATTACACTTAAAACCAGCAGGAAATGAAAAAACTCAACTCCTAGTCCGAGCAGATACCAATTTAGGTAAGTGGATTTCTTCTAGTCGCAAGTCTTGATGTGAAATTCCTTGCTAAGCTTTAGGATTTTTTTGTTACACAGCCTAACGGACATGATTAGTGAAAACCTTTCTACTTTTTTTGAGTAATTTTAAGTACTGAACAAGCAATCAGACGTCTCTAATGACTGTTACAAAATAGTGTACATGAAGCAGTGCAAGGAAGTAAAAAGTTATGGTGTATGTTTGGGTATTCCTCCCCAGCCCTTTTTTAATAGCTTTTCTCCATCCCCAACTTGTTGAGTGGCTTTGAAGTGTGTCTTAAGATCCACAATGAAGTATATATGTATCAGGTGTGATAAACAAAGAGGAACAAATTTTGTGCTAAGATGTAGGCCGACTGACATTTGTCTGCAATTCATCCTGAATCTGTAACTAGTTGGCCATGTGGACAGATGTCTGTTGTGCTTGGAGGTGAAGGGGAGTGTTCTGTAGATCAGGCACGCAGGGGTTTGCCATATGCAGTGCTCTTAGAACCCATGCAGAAGTCCAGCTGTTGAACTGTGTTTTGGTTGACTTCAGCTGGATCACAACTGGTGGGTTGACTCCACAGAATTAGAGTAGCCTGTAGTGTGATAGTTCCTCCTCAGAATATCTTTTGAGATCAATGTTAACGCACACAGCTAACTAAAGAGAGACAAACCCAGCTCTTTCTTTGCTTTTGGAAGTTAGGGGGACTTGATGCATTAAAGTTTTTAATGTTCTGGCTGAAGAGTATTTACACACTTAAATTGCAAATCAATGTTTTGATATCCACTGTTGAGAAACTCTGCTACACCCTAGTACCTAATTTCAACAAACTTGCATGTGGGGTTCAGGTGCACTTGACAACTTGCCTAAAATAGAATAAATATTCTGCTTATAGAAGACCTGAGGGCTAAGCCATGCTGCACTGTAGGCCATGGGTAAATCTCACCTTGATTCCAGTTTACAGTGCACTCCAAGTCTGTGTGATGTCCCTGCAGGCCCATTGGGGCAGTTCTCAAATACCCGGTGAGACTGGGGCTCCTGTATTAGTCAACTCTAAATCATTAACTTCTTTCCGTGGAGAGAAGGTTTGCCAGATAAAGAGCAGTTCTTAGCATTAAAACTGAAGGCAGATGTATGGCAGAGTTGTCAGTGCTTTCAGCATTTCCCTTGGGGGTTTGAATGTGGTGAATAGAGCAGATGAAAACTTGCTTTCTCCATGTTACCTACTCTTTAACATGAGTCTTGATTTTCACTCAGCTGATGCTAATTTTCATGATGTTGATTCACATTCCCTCTACCTTCATCTGAGGTGATGTATTAGGAAATCTTTCCTTTTTCTTCAGCTCATATGCTAAGACATTTCAGCTTGGTGTTTCCAAGCATTGGTTTCTAGAAACTGCTGCAGTCATAGTGATGCGCGCTTTCCTTTTTGCTATCTTCACACAGTGCTATAATCCTTTCCTAAAAATCTCACTGTGTTGAAAAACTGAACTGGAAAGGAAGGTGAAGACTGACTTTTCCCTAAATACTACTTCCGTGTTCTGAACTATTTACCAGGTTTACAAAATGTGTGCATCTTCCTTGGAAGCAGATTTGAGTTTGTTTGCAACTGTTTTAATAGACCACTAATCCTGAAGCTCTCAAACTCACTACACAGTTTAACAAGTTGATGTAGAGCTGCTGTTAGTAACCCGGTGGTAGACCACATCAGCTGTGTTTTACGATTTGAGGATACAAAGTTACTTATTCCACCATAGTTTGTCCAATTTTCGATTAACATGTCTGTCTGTGTGTTAAAGCTAACATTGTGCTTCTGCTTATGAACTGCGCTTGGTGGTCAGAATGAGTAACTTGCATAAGCATAAACTAAGCACTGTGACTGGGTTCCTCATTTGCTGCTTCTCCCCTGTCCCCTTCTCTCTTTCCTGTGTGTCCCTACTATCATTTGATATTCTTCAGGCTCCTCCCTTTAAAAAAGGAGGACACAGTATTTTCAGACATTTCCTCATTCCTAATGAGGAAAGAAATCTTTGAGAACAGTGGCCATGAGCAGATATTAGAGAAGAATAAGACAAGTATGAGACATTTGTGAATTGCCTTCCTTCCAAACACAAACATAAATCCCTCTTTAGTAAGTATACTAACATCTGTATTGCAGTAAAAGCTGAAAAATTGCTAACTGTAATTTTTTTTCCTCCTCGTATGCAGGAAACATACTGTTGAATGTTTTAATTCCACCTAAGATGCCATGTACAAGAACCGGAAAAAACAATGTTCTTATAGTTTGTGTTCCTAATCCACCGATCGATGAGAAGAATCCAGCTGTTCCTGTCACTATGTTAATAAGGGTGAAAACCAGTGAGGATGCAGATGAGTTGCACAAAATCTTACTGGAGAAAAAGGAGGCTTAAATAAGTTGCAGTCAGTGATTTGAGGAATTATTGCCTAACTGCTGCTGCTCTTTTTTTTTCTTCCATAACTTCACTTGAACACTTAACTCTCTACTCTGATATTAAGAACTGTTCTAGGAATTTTGGAAAAATTCTGTGAGGAAAAGCTAAACTAGCTAATAAAAGCTTTAACAGAACACAAGTGTTGGACTGTGCTCCCTCATTTTTCAACATCTAAATGCGGGACCCTCTTCTGGATAAAAGCACGTACTGATTTAAATTAAAGCATGTTTTTAACAGCGGTCGATTTGACCGAATGGACTGAAATCAGAGTTCAAAAATATCGTACCAGACCTTCCTCACAGACTGTGGTGCAATGCAACAGCCTCCTGTTTTGAGAAGGGAGGATGTTGAAGTTTACCTGTTGAAACTGTTTCCAGACTCCAGATTTTTAATTTCAATTGGTCTCTCATTCTGGTGAGACTAATTTTTCAAACTCGGTGACAACACTGTACCCCAAGAAGGATAGTGTGTATTGTACTGTGTTTTAACTCGTACAGACTCGTGTGCTTTTGGGACTCAGAGACTGCATCTCCAGAGAATTAAATTTGCTTGCATAGTTTTGTTGACAGTAGTGTTTCTTAGAGAAGAACTGTCATTTCTGTTCTTACTGTAGCAACAAGCTAATGATGTGCAATAGTACAAGCAGACAACTGGAAGACTGTTTATCTTGGACCACGGCCCCAGCAGGCACGCACTGACTGACTTCTCCCAAGTCAGAGGCAAAGGGTTGCACTGCCATTATGGTCCCTTTGAGGTATTCTTCCCTAGTCCCTTGGGCTAAAACTGAAACCCAGCAGAGGCAGAGTTGTAAATGTTGTACTTGTCTTGCTACTAGTACTTTTCTGAAGATATCTCTTTTCACAAATTTCAGGATTTTTATAGATCTTTATATTGCCTCTGGCCCTTACCAAGAATACATGCATAAATGTGTGTGTGTGTCTTAATTATTTTTCCCATGTGCTAAAATGACTGCTTTACTGCATCACATTAAGTAAAGCAGTAGTTTGCAGCTTTAGGACAAGTTGTCTGTTGTAAGTAGGGATCAGTGGGTTAATCTATAACTTAATTTTCAGCTGTGTTAAAATTAACCACATGGCAATAATTTGTGGATCAGAATATCATTCTGTTCTCAAGTTTTATCAGACTGTGTTTAGTTACTTAATTATTTTCTTTTTCAAATGTTGTTTGCTGGAAACTCCTTCCCTAACAATTGTTTTTCTGCTTCACTTCCAGCTCTGGCAACTATTCTAGAGCTAGATGGTAATTAAACTTGAACTGTTCTCAGATCTGTCACACAGACCAGCTCTGGGGTGATGGAAGAAACATACCAACCTGCCTCTGGCTACTGTGGCACAGAGGAGAAATTCCATTCTTTAAAAAAAAAGCAGCATGATGCAATTCTCACAGGGGCCCTGGGTATCCACAGTAGTGGCATCCCAGGGGTGGAGAAAAAGCAGCAGCACCATTTGATTAGATGCAGCACAACCTACCTGCTCCCTGCGAGGGGGACAAACGGCTGCACAATTCAGGTTATGGCCTTTTTTTTCCCCCCTCTTAACTAAAAGGAGGAAAAACTTTATAGAATCTGTTGCCCTTTTGACCAAAGTTCAAGAACAAAGGCCTTTGCTCACATTACAGCTATGCCGAGGTCACATGAATTGCATTTTTAACACTCCACATGGAAAGGGAGCTCAGATACCATTTCAGATATTATTTGAAAAACACTGGTGCCTTTTTTCTTTTTGCATCTGGCTCAGTACTTAACCCTTAAAAGCAAGTGACATTACTTTCCTCAAAATAACGTGCTTTTTTTTTTTTTTAAAAAAGTCTTGCCTATACCTACTTCAGAGGCCAAAAGCTAAAGGCATGCATGTTAATTGTGTGTGAATGAAAAGCAGAACATTGCCTGAAAGTTCATTAGAGGCTCAGGTTTAATGTCTAAGGGCTCAGTTAATTTTGCATTTGTCTTTTGTCTGCAGTGTCTTAAACATGTCTCCACACAGAAAGGTTTATAGGCTAGAGCACTGGGCATGGCTTGAAGAGCATCCCTGTACAGATCGTGTCTGTGGTCTTGGGTTTGTGTTTGTTTCCTTCTGAAAGCTCATGGACCTGTAACTGTTCCTTCATCCACTGAAATATGGACCAATTAACTTAAGCGAGAGACAGACTTAACTTTCTATGTATCCTTAAGATTCGCCTCCGAAGTGAAGCAGTCTTGGGGTTTGGCATGCACATGTTTGGCCCAATTCTAAAGCTGGCAAACTGAGTAAGGGCTAATGCCTCTCCATCATGTTTCGAAGGGTGGACATTTAGAGGGTGAGCACACAGCGTAAGGAAAAATAAATAGAATAGTAATAAATTGTGTTGGAAAAAATTAAACCTTACTATATCCACAGTAGCAAGTAATGTCTTCCATTAGCTGTGAAAAAGACTGATTGGGATGAGACCTTAATTCTTTAGCAATGCGTGTTTATCAGTAAAGCTATGGGAAGGTACACAATTGGAATCTTGTGTTAATTAGAATGTCAAATATATGCATAAACATACAATTTTAAACATTTTACAGGGAAAAGTTGCCACTAAAAGAATAGGGAAGAATTTTACTGCAAATTGGAGATTTTAAGCAGCGTTACTCATAGTGACCCTGAAATTCTCTGGACTGTGAAGCAGGAAAAGTCAGTCATACACTTCTCACTTGGTGTTCAGTTCTAAAGCACAACCCTTCTCCAGTACTGTTATAAAAACAAATTTTTGATGATGCTTCAGTTTCTAGTTAAGAATTATTAAAATAATATGTAAATACTGTAAAAGGCCAGAGATTATTACGTAGAAATAAAGGCCTAAAGTGAGTTAAAAACAAAAATTAGTGTAGAGCATAGAAATCAATATATTAATGCCTTCCTGACAAAGTGGCACATGCTATATGAGGAAGGAATTTTGGTCAGAATTCCAACCCAATGAGGCATTCCTGTATCTCAGTAGATACTTAATATACTTAACAGCTGGATATCAGATACCTGATGTTAAAGATGTGAGTTTCCTCCCTAATTTGAGTTAATGCCTTCACTGTTTCAGATGTACATAGGTGCTGGAGTGGCTTATGGATCACGCATTCTTCCTTCTGCTGTAATTTTGAAGTTTCATCTGCTTAGAAATCTTCCCTTTCCCTTTTGTCTCCCCACTCCCCAAAACAGAAAATCAGTATCCCCTTTGTTTAATTCTCAGAATCATCTGCAAGGGAGATTTTTATAGTCGTTTTAATTTTATTTTAAAATATTGTTATATACAGGTTTTTTTTTTTTTGTAATACATACTTAAAATTACCTATGGGAATACAACAGCGTGTTCCTGTAATCCCTTCTGGTTAATGGATGTGAAAGTTTAATTTAAATTTACAGTTCAAATGATCATGGAGAACACGAACCGATCAGAAGGTATGCTTTACTATTAAGAACTTCAGTTCAGCTCCCTTTGCAGCACTGTAACATTTAAAACATCCGTAAGGACTTTCTTTCTGATGCCTTAACTTATTTACATATGCTAAAATTTTGTAGCTGGTGCCTGTGTGCAGAAATTTAACTGACATTAAAACAATTTAAAGTGGCATGAGCTAGTATAAATCCAATGAAAATGCTGAATGTGACGACTTGTTACTTGTTAATAGATTTCAAACTGCTGGATTTTTCAGTGGATACTTAAGTTTCACATAATTTGTCATGTAATAATGTTTTCATTAGTTCTAACACATTGAGGAAGTGTACAAAAATCCATGGAAAATGTGAATAAATGAATGGGAGATAAGTGTCTTGTGTGTATCCCTTTCACTTTGACTGCATAACACTGTATTAAAATGGATTTTACAGTCACCTGCTGCAGGTGGACTCCTGCCGGGACAGTCCTGTGCACGGCCTTGCTGCTGCTGCCCTGCCCTCTCCTCCAGCCGCTCTGGAACCTGCCGCATTGGGAAGAGCCAGTTCAGCAAAAATGCCGCCGCCTTGCAAGGTCAGCGACCTGAACCGGCCGCCAGGGAGGAGATGGGGCTGCCTTCGACTAGAGAAAAGCTAGTTCTGACGTGCTGAGAGAATGACTGTAGAGATCAACCTCCAAAAATCCCTCCGCTTAAATCGTACAATATTCAAGAACAAAAGTAATCTGTGGTTGCCTGACGACACAAGTAGAACTTATTTTAGATCTAGCCTAAAAGTGCTGTCCTAAAGCCAGGCCACAGTGATTCTTTTCTTCCTTGTTTTGTGACAGTTTGGCAAATGGGTGTGTGGGGGGGGAAGACAATAAAATCAAGACAGACTTGTCATGACAAGTGTCAATCGTCTTTCCAATGCACCAGGAACTGCTGAGACCATGGGAGCGCCTGTCATCCCACCTGCACTTCTGCTGTTAGCCGGTATTGGACTGCATAGCCCTGCCTTAATTCTGTTTACAGTTCTGGAGCTCTCCATGCCCACGAACAGGAGCTACTTCTTGCATGAGGATACAACTGTCAGTTAGCAAAGACTATTTAGATATCTCCCCCACAATTGTGACAACTGGGAAAACCAAGAGCCTGTGTTGCAGTTTTAAGGATGCAGTTGCTGTCAATAGAGCACCACATTCCTACCTAAATTGCCCAGTTTGTTTTTTTTTTAAAACAAACAAAAAACTACCACCACCAACAACAAAAATAAACCAGACCCAAACACCAAGTTCATGCACTTGGGATGTTGGCATTATTCCACATTTTGGACATCTCTTCCTTAAAATAGACAACCAACACTGCTTACAGAGTCTCCCCAGCTTTCGGCAGCCATAAAAACAATTCTCAAGAGCACAAACTAGCTTATTACTCATTTCAGACTGGGGTAATCTGGGACTTCTAATGCTTAATGCTTTGCTACTACTCACTGAAGATTTTACCACTTGCACAACAGGAAGGGGCAAAAGTAACTGCAGGAGACAGCAAGTCCTGAACATCCAGCCTAAGACAGTGCAACACTCTAAGAACATTCTGTTAGTCCAAAATCTGACTCTTCCCTGATCCAGCAGGAAAATGCCCCTCACAGCAGACTAGTTACAACAGCCGAGTCACGGAGAAGTCCAAACAGACTCCTCTGAAATGCACACCAAGAGTAAGCTAAAGGCTGTGTACATGTCATCAGACAAACAGTGAAGGTGACAAGTAAACTTTAATCATGATCCAAATGATGCATCGACAGACGGGCTACCTGCTGAAACCAATCTCCTGCGAAAGACAAAACTGGAAGCTGGATGAAGATCAACAGCCTGCAAAGTCATTTTGAGAAACGTAGCCTCGTGTATGACACAACATTTGAAGCTGTGAATGACTTCAGGCTCAAAGTTTGGTAAACAGCTCGATCTGGTAAAGTACTTGCTTCATAGAAAGGTCACAAGACAGACAAGACAACTAAAGTTTAGGTGGAGAAGAGCGACAAACTTCTTTTGCTAGCCAGTAGATGAGGGCTGGATGACAAACCTCTGCGCTACTGTGAGTTACAGCGTGTGACTGAGCACCCGTAACTGACTGCCAGGCATCAACTCCAGGAGGAGCAGCACACCAGGACCAAAGGCTGCACGAGATGAGTAAAGAGATAGAAGAAATTACATTGTTTGAAGTAGTCACCAATATATTTCTCCAAGTTTGTTAGGGTAGCATACTGCTCAGTTTTTTAAGGCATCATACTCGTTTAGAAATTCTTATTTGCATCTAAGCATCCTGAATAAGTATTGTAAGAAAAGTAAATATAATCATCAGTTTAGTGGGTGTTGCTATTAGGAGCATCGTAACATTTACTGAGAGGTAGCTCAGAAATGGATCACCTCTGGAAGTCTGCAGGGGCTTCAAAGATGAAAATAGAGTTTGCCTGCTCGGGCAGTACCACTGAGTAAAAAGTCTCTGACTGGTTTACTATGTTATATCATAGATGACATAATACAGTACAAATTTTTTTGGTCTAAATTATGGTCAGCATTAGTTTTGGAGCCCAACCTGAACTGGTGGGCACTCGGGGCATTCTTCTTACCTGCAAATGGTAATTCTGTTGACTGCAATTCCAGGGAAAACTTGCAGATGGTGTCTTCATTGTAAAAAGCAAATTCCTAACACTGAAGAGAAAACGGTAGATCATATAACAAATAGTAATTACTTTGGCAGTTTATGAAGTAAGTTTTTCCTTACCCTTATGATGAGGTCAGAAATGACTCCTGTGACCACCTGTCTGGGCTGATTGCCCTTGTGTGCTGGGCAGGTTACCCACAGGGGTACTTCCCAGGAAGCATGCAGTTCAGAAATCTTGCTGAGAAGGAGCTTGCATAATAACTCCTCTTGCTCCTTGATGCTACACCTATCACACTCATTTTCAAAGCAAAACCTAATCCGACACCTGCGGGGATGGAGGAGTGGGTTCTGCCAACCTCCTTGTCCTTCAGGAGCAAAGGAATGCCTCCAGACTGGGTGCAGGCTTAAGGCAGTCTCTTTGATGACCACACAGTGGTTGCATCTGAATTAAAGGTTATGAGACTTAGAAGAGTCTGTAGACGAGTAAATTGCTTTTGGTGGATCTCCCCAGCGGTATTGCTCCAGCAGGAAATGCAGAACCACAAACATAAAAACACTCTCTGTGTTGGGGGAAGATGGGAGGGGGAAGAGCTCGGGTTGAGTAATCACATATTGTGAAATACCAAGTTATGAATCACCAAAATCAACTGAATGTTGGCATAAATAGATAACAGGGAAAACATTAAAGTAGCTGCAACTAACACTTCAAGACAAAGCTTTTTTTCAAACGTAGGTGGTCTCCACTGATTTGGGCAGGGTGACTCCTCCTTTTTGAAAAATCATCAGCTAGCTCCATTCATTTCAATAGGGTTTTAAAACTGTTTATTCCCATCTTCCTTGAACCATTTTCTTTGAAGGGAATTCAGGACCGTGCAAGTTAAAACCGTGAATAGTAAGTATTCAAGTAGTTCTGTTATTGCCCAAAGTTCATCCCTGTAACAGCAGGAGCATCTTCAGCAGCGTGCTCAGCTCCAGAGGCAGCCGCCCTGCCTGCCTGTTTTGCTTTACAAGCTGCCTCCTCGCCCTCTGCCAGCCCTCGCCCCTACAGGGCTGCTCTGCTGACAGATCATTCTGTTTGTGCAGGTGCCACAGGGTAGGCCTTGCGTGCAGGTACAACCACAACTACCTGGCTGGCCAATTTTTATCTTCTGCAGTGCATGTGCAGTAGAGGGAATAAGTCCACACTCCTCACAGATGAGTAAATCCAGTTCGTGCACACAAACATTTCTGTCTTGTCTGAACAAGAAAATGGACCGTCTACCTTGGTTTTCATACCAACATGTCAATCAGTATTAACCCTTCTAGGAACAGCCAGCCAGCTTGACTTGGGGAAGACTTTTCTGGCTTAACCAATCATACATGACTTATTTCCCATGATGAGATCCTTACCTTTGTGAGGAACCAAGCTGGGGACAGAACTTGAATTAACTTCTATTTTCCTTGAAGTGTTTTAATATGTCTTCTATACTGAGTAGCATCTGTTACTCCCAGATTCTCTTCTACACTGTTAAGGGAAAATCAGACCCACAGTCCTCCTGCATTTTACTCCTTTGCTCTCTGCAAACTTGCAATTACAAGTTTCAGGAACTACATTTCTGACAGGAGTACACAAGTAACTATTTGCTAGCAAAGATGTGTATTTTTTTCTTCAATCTTCAAAGTGTGATTTTACTTTGTAAAATCAGACCTTGATGATAAACTTGTATGCCAAGCAACATAACGGTATTTCTTGGAGCATCCCTCCAGATAAGGACAGGCAAGATACGGAACACTCCAGGACAAAAGGACCTCGAGTTAATTTGGGTCCCCAAAGCAGGGACTCTACTGAATGAGCTATACCACCACACTGTTAAAACAGTATTCTTCTCAGAGCATATTCAAGAAATTAATTCATTAAAGTTGTGAAAGCTTTTTAAAGACATATGTGGCAGTCTTCTGTTCCCCCAGCATTTGGATTAAAAACCCAAACCAAATCAAGCACACCTTTTCCTGTCACTAACTCCTGGCAGACTAACGAAACAGGTGAAGTTTATTACTGTGATTTGTAAGCTTATGCTACTCTTTGCCTTTTGTACTGTTTTAAATAATGCTTTCTCCACCATGGCTGCTCTCAAAAGGTTTCCATTTAAAGTATTCAAGGAAAATCACACTGTTTGTTTCTAAGCCATATTTTAGTATTTCCCAACTGGTTAAGATTCCTGTTCAGTTGCATGCACAGAACACTGCCAACAATCTGCTCAAATATCCATATAAAGCACAAAAACACGCTGTTCTCCTTCCTAAGCTCTGTTTTTTAATTTTGCCATACCACACATCTCCAAGCGATCATGCGTGGCTTAGCATAGATGTTGTTACACCACACGTGGGTTTGTGAAACAGTCCTGGACTGGGACTCTTTGAAATGGAATCATCAGCACATCAACTCTTATCTATACGTGGTAACATTTGTTTGGGGAGTGTTTCATTTTAACTAATTTAGATAGAAAAATCCCCTGAAGAAGCCTACTGTGAAATGTTAGTCACGAAAATCAGGTGGAGCGGGAAGGTGCACTGCCTGGCAGGTAGCTGAAGGAAAACGGATTCAATGCCAGTACGCACAATTTAACGCAGAGTGAGCAGTTAAGAGCTAAAGGGCAATCTAATTTTTACAACATTGCATAAGCCCATACGGAAGTCCTTCCTGAATTTATCAGGAAGACATCATTACAGCTATCAGTCTCTCAATATACAC